TGCAAACCGAGGTACATTTTTGCAGCCGGAGCTGGTCGTAACCCGAAAAGTTCGTTAACAGAGGCGTTCGTAACCCGAGGTACCACTGTACCTCAATATCTAACCGTAGACAATTTGATACAAATGACTGGCTTTCTAGCATAGGTATTTTCATACTTTAGACTGCAGGCTACCCTTTTGCTTAACTAGTGCAACTGATATTCTATTCCATTAATTGTATATTTCACACTGCATACGCAGTTCATGACATGGCTATATCTGGTTTTAACTTTTCCAGTCTGATCTGCAGGCAAACTGTCCATTCAGTTGCATAACTTTGTCTTGGGCCTCTCTCCTCCATTTGCATTTCTTTGTCAAGAGATGAACCTGCAAAAAATCTCAGCTCACCCTAATCTCTTAACAGGTGTAGAACTGTTGTATAATAACCATTATAATTTGTAATGGTTGCCAGTAAAGATTAGGTCTCATTCAAAAGCCCTACCTAGATATGTTTGGATTGCTCCGTATTTTCACATGACATAAGATGTTGGGTAATTGTTCAGGCACCAATACTCGGATCTGGTCAACTGCACTGCAGAGCTTCAGGTAACCCAGATAAAGACCAGGGAGAAGAGCTTGGCTGCTTCTCTGGTGGTAAGCCAACTTGTCCTAAAAGGAAATAAGAAATGGCCATTGAGATGGCACCTTTTCTCCCCAGTCAATCTTGCTGAAAAAAATTCCATGAAATCCAAGAAAGAAAGGGAAAAAAAATAACAGGAAGGTTGAGGTTACTATCAGCTGCTTTAAGAGAGCCTACTCCAGAGTTGAAAGACTGGTGGTTAAATAAGAAGAAGGTCAACCAGTTTGTGTGGCTTGAATTAAAAGTTCAGCTGAACTATTTTGTCTGCAGTTTCCAGGTCCAATCAGCCTCCAAAGTCCTCAGAGACAGCCTGGTAAGGCTGGGAGGCACCGGGAACATTACAGAGGAGAGTGTTGCTGTGAGGAACAGCCAGACTGGTGCTACAAGCTGGAGGAACAGAGACAGTGTTGAACCAGTCCTTTAGCAGCTAGGCCTTTGCTAATCCTAGCAACAGATTTGAATAAACACTTTCATCAGCCCCCTGTACAGGTGCTCGAGTGCCTCTTGTTGTTGGAGACACTTAGCCCAGCAAAAGGAAGTGGAAGGAGAGAGAAACATCCAGAGGGGTCAGGAAGAGAAGGAATTGCTAGGCACTCATAGAAGGAATTCTTGGCTAAGACCTGCTCAAAGCATGGGGAAAACAACTGTGACCGGAAGCAGAGACAGCAAATGTCTCAACAATAATTAACTGAATCCCCAGTGGAAACGTCGACAACTGGAAACCCATTCTTTCGTTTCTGCAGAGTGCCACATGCCATAAGTAGAAAGTAAGCAATAAAGAACATAATGCTACAGGCCACAATGCTGTCTTAACTACCGTATTTTTCCGACTATAAGACGATACTTTTTTCTAAAATCCTTACCCTAAAA